GCAGCCTCCTGGCCGGGAGTGCTGAGTGCTGGCCTTGGCTGGGATGCAGAGACCCAGGCTTGACCCCATCTCTGGTCCTCAGGCCAAGCTGGGCCCATCTTTGGGTGAATTCATTTCAGGCTGAACTTTGTGTGAACCTGGGCCCGAGGGGAAGGGAACCCGACAGAGCAAGGCTGACGGAGGCAAGTTCTGAGCAAACCCATCAGCCTGAGTAAATATTGAACAAGTCCATGTGAAGGCTGAGGTTGAAATGGAGCTGTCAGCCCAGTGTAAACTGAAAGGATAGGTGAGGCCTCCGAAGAGCAAGGAAACATTTTGTACACTCACTTCTGCAATTGTTCCTTCCACCCGAGCCCTTTGCCCCAGACCTCATTTCACCTGCCTGGGAGGCTAAAACAGCCCTGAAGCTGCTCAGTGCGGAAATATCTATGTTGGTGGAAGCAAATGGCTGGGGGGCAGGGGGGTGAGCAAGGGGACAGCACTGTGGGGTGGCCCTTTCAGTGTAATGAGTTTGGAGCATTACAGCTGGGGTCGGACACAAGGCAGCAGATCGGAAGTCCACGACTTAAATCTAGGTAACCTATGAAGCATCAATCCTGAAAAAGAAATATACTATATATTAGATATAAATGTGATATAAATATAAGTGAAACCCATTGTCTATAAATATATATAATCCAAATAAACACATATATGCTCAGCTCCCAGGATCTAGCCTGACTGTGCTGCTGGGACGTCTCTGAGGATGGGGAAGGGCCATTGCAATTCCTCCTAGTTTACCTGATTTGGGGTGTATCACTTCCCTTGGTAATGTTAGTGCATAAGCAGGTGCATGGGCACCTCGCTGCCTTGAGGCTGCTTGCAGAAGATGGATCAAAATCTGTTTCAGTTCTGACTCACTCCCTGTGTGAGGAAAACAGGTTTACTCTGTGTCCTGGTTTTGCAGAGAGCTTGGGAAATGGTGGCTCCTGACTGATTTTTCCGTGTGAAAAGACTTTGAAGAAACCCAGAAGGCTTCCTCCTCTCTTCTCCTACACTTCAAGGCATCAAAGGCTTTTAGAGGCTGGCAATAGCCCAGTCAGGCCACAAGACAGTCACTGAGGGGGAAGTTTTGTCCCCAGACAGAGACCCCCAGAAATGCTTCACACCTCCAGCGCAATGCCAGGAGCAGAGTTAATAGCAGCCAGCAAAGTGGAGTTGAAAGTAAGGAGGTCTTCAGGGTACTATTATTATTATTATTTAATAGAATGTCCTCTTCTGAGATCAAAAGGGCCTCACATTGTGAGAGCAAATGCTTTAAGGAGAGGAGAAATATTTCACACCAAGGGGTAAGGAACAGATGGCCCTGGAGTGCCGGGTGTGCTCCTCGAGTCTGCTCTGGGACCGGAGCCACAGGACAGGGACCCTGGGCGTCCCTTCCTTGTCCTCTCCTCCCACAGAGGGACAACAGTTCCAATGCAGCAATTGCCATTAATAATTTACAAGGTTACGTTTCTCTAACTGGGAATTTCCCCTTCCTTTGGGATATTAAAAGAATAAATCTCCATTAAGACATGGCTTTGTGTGTGAGCGTACAGGGGGACTTGGCTAATTTTCCTGCTCATGAAAAATGCAATACCAGGAACCCATGGACAGACACACACCGAGGTAGAGGAATATATGGGATTATAAATAGCCACGTCGCTGTGTATCATTTATATAAAACAAAGGAGTGTGTGTAGACCTAATTTTTGTGCTAAAGTCCGACTATGGCAATAGGGCTGAGTATCAACAGGGACGCAGATCTGCAGAGACTTTGCATAGCTTGTGCCGATGTCCTGTGAGAAGTAGCAGGCGTTGGTGGATCCATAGGTACCTGTGTGGGTATTCAAGTGCCAGTACCTGCTCTTTATCTGCTTCTCGGGGTGTGGGGAGGACACGGGTGTCCCTCACCGCCTCATGGGAGCATCTGTTCCCGGCCGGGGGACCCCCAGCCGCGGGTGTCCTGGCGTGGCCTTTCCAGCCGGCTCCTGCTTCACAGCGGTGGGCTCCGGGCTCTTGAGACAAAAGGGAGCGTGAGAACCTCGGAGGGGGAGCTGGGCGGGGGGGCAGAGATTATCTGTGTGCGGCGGTGGTTGTTAGTGAAACTAGGCTTGGCAGAGAGATGAGCAAAGGGAATGGGGTGGGGGGAGCCCGGAGGGGGTTACATATGTAAGGGCGCATCGGCACCGTCTCTGCGGACTCTTCCGGAGACTCCCTTTGAGTTTCAAATAGGGGCTAGAAGCCTTTGTTGTGCCCGACACAGGGACACATTGGTCCCCTCCTTTTTGTCCTGGCCTTTCCGCTCTCCTCCGGCTGTCCC